GCTCTGGATAGAATGGCATTGGCGGGAACTGGAACACGCTGTCGTACACGTCGATCCAGAGCATCCCAAATGTCCTCAATGAATGATATGTCTTGTGAGTATGCAGGCCATGGAAGAACTGGGACATTTTCAGCTTCCAGGAATTGTGTACAGATCCTTGCGACATGGGGCCGTGCATTATCATGCTAAAACAGGAGGTGATGGCGGCGGATGAATGGCACGACAATGGGCCTCAGGATCTCGTCACGGTATCTCTGTGCATTCAAATTTCCATCGATAAAATGCAATTGTGTTCGTTGTCCATAGCTTATGCCTGTCCATACAATAACCCCATTGCCACCATGGAGCACTCTGTTCACAACGTTGACATCAGCAAACCGCTCGCCCACACTATGCCATACACGCTGTCTGCCATCTGCCTGGTACAGTTGAAACCGGGATTCATCATCCGTGAAGAGCACACTTTTCCAGCGTGCCAGTGGCCATCGAAGGTGAGCATTTGCCCACTGAAGTCGGTTACAACGCTGAAGTCGGTTGACAACAGGTCAATACCCTGGTGAGGACGACGAGCATGCAGATGAGCTTTCCTGAGACGGTGTCTGACAGTTTGTGCAGAAATTCTTCAGTTGTGTAAACCCACAGTTTCATCAGCTGTCCGGGTGGCTGGTCTCAGACTATACCGCAGGCGAAGAAGCTAGATGTGGAGGTCCTGGGCTGATGTGGGTACATGTGGTCTCCGGTTGTGAGGCCGGTTGGACGTACTGCCAAATTCTCTAAAACGACGTTGGTAGGCTTATGGTAGAGAAATTAACATTACATTTCTCTGGCAACAGCTCTGGTAGACATTCCTGCAATCTGCATGCCAATTGCATAATCCCTCAAAATTTGAGACATCTGTGGCACTGTGTTGTGTGACAAAACTGCACATTTTAGAGTGGCCTTTTATTGTCCCTAGCACAATGTGCAGCTGTGTAATGATCATGCTGTTTAATCAGCTTCTTGATAATCCATCCACCTGACAGGTGTGGAATATCTTGGAGAAATGCTCACTAACAGGGATTTAAACAAATTAGTACACGAAACTTGAGAGAAATAAGCTTTTTGTGTGCATGGCTATTTCTGGGATCTTTTATTTCAGCTCATGAAACATGGGACCAACACTTTATATTTTAGTTCAGTGTATATCTATGACTAACACATTCACAGCAGTGCGGCAGTAAACGTGTCAAGGCGACAGGAAACTTGCACAAACAGTACAGCTAAGGAGGATGAGGTAGAAAGGCCTTGCCCTGAAGTGACTAATGTAATAAACTCATGTGTAAGTCCTCTATTAAAAAACACAGACACTTGTCCATTTTTACCTGTTTTAATGAACCCTGATTACAATTTAATTACAAATAAGGGGGGGGGGGGAATACAAGAGAAACATAAGGCATGTTTCCTCAAGGCATGGAGTCTCATCTCTCAGTTTGAGTGTTAAATAACCGCTGAGAAGAGTGAAAGAAGAGAGGGAGGATGGAGGGAGAGAGATGGTCACCTTTCAAATAATACAATGTCAAAATAATAGAACGTATTTTTCTCAGAGTCCCCCAAAAGTGAAAAAATAATATATATATATATATATATATACACACACACAAGACCAAAAAATATATTTAAAAAACAAAGGTAATGTGATAGGATTATGTGAGCCCCTCTTTTCCATGGGTCCACAATTACAAATACAACCAGCTCAGTTGAAGTTATAACTACTATTTTAGTTCAGATAATAGTAAGATGGAGGAGTTGTCATTGTCTGGAAAATATATACTGAAAAATAAAATACTAAACTCATGAGAGATTCAAATAGCCATGGAAAAGAGGTAGGCCCAGAGGAGGAGTACAAAATAATCAAATAGTAAATCATTGTTAATAATAATGACAGTAATAATACATTTTGAAAAATAATAAACAGCAATGATGATATTGAGGGAAAAGTATCAACATAGTAGGAAAAAATGTACGGTGATTACATTTTTCTTTCTAAGCAACAATTAAGGCAGCTGTCAGTTATAATGCAAGGCGGGACAAAAGACTAGCTGGGTGGCTAAAGGCGTCAGCATGCTTCAGTTCGGCTGGTGCCGAACTCAGCTAGCCGAACAACTGTGCTCGCATACTCCCTTAAAAAGACCTTCGCTTGAAAAACAAGAAAAAAGCAGCACTAGTACGGTTTGTCCATTTTGAGATGCCATAGCCAAATTCCTCAAAATAGTCAGAATAACTCAATAAAACTGTCATTAATTTACGTTTTTGCCGAGAAGATCTTAGTCGTCTCTCGTTGATTGACAACTAAGAGTTTATTGAAGAATCCCTACTGTTGACCAATCACAGACGAAGGGGCATAGACTTCGGCTACTGACGTCGGTTTGCCTCGAGAAAAAATTTGATGTGCCCAAACAGCCGAAAAACCCCTTACCGGAGTACAAAACTAACAAAAAAGGTAACAAAATGTCGTCATAATATATGCACAAACACTTCTGAACCGTTTCTGCTGGGAAGCATGCGGACACCTTAAGGCAACACCAACACCCGCTTACAGACACCCACTCACGCCACACTAGCGCTATGAACAAACTCTGGGCAAGTCTTATTTTGGCCAGGATCTTGTTGTGTTACCCAGCTGGAGGGGCCTAGACGCAGTAGACGGCACCTGCAGAGAGTCTTCTCAGATTACGGGAAGTACCTCAGAGGTTTTGTGATGTCATATCCTGCGTGGGCGAGGGTGGTTTCTCTGGTTAAGAGTCTTGCAAGCCAGAGAGACTAGTACGGGGGTGGGGAATCATGTCGCTAGTGATGTCACCTTCCTTTTACTCTAGGTTAACCGCATTTAAGCATTACACCCCTCTCAGCAGACCAGGTCTACCTCACATGTACACACACAGGTGGTGGAGTGTTGCTGATGCATTCTCCTAGTATAGTTCATGGTCCAAGACAAAAGGTTGGTTCAGTGGACCTCAAAGGCTCCTTGTCCTTGTGTTCCCAGGAGCGTTTGGGGTCCCGAGAGGGGGTGAGCCTGGTCGTAAAGTTAAGGTTCGGGGGACAAGACAAGGTTGTCTGTTCTTCTCAGTGATCTCAAATCTTAAGTGTCCATGATCCAACATTTCTCCATTATTTGTTCATTTACTGTCCCTTTTCACCCACCACCCTTCAACTCGCCCAAACAGAATACTTGTTTTTACATTACAAATAGAAGTGTTCCGATTCCTCTTGCACAAGGACCATTTTCAATGCAGCTCCACAGTCAAGGGGGGCAAGGAGAGAAGAGGGCTCCCTCATATATATATATATATGCCCAACATATAGCTACCATTAAAAATAACATTCCTGATTCATATCAAATTATACTTTTTGAAATATAACTTTTGTATTTAATATATTCAAATAAAATACATGTAGTATTTGTTTTAGTTATTCAGCATGTTTCTTAAATGGTATAGAAAAAGAAGGCAAAGTGGCAGTCAGTGTATGAGGTCTGTTCCCACGCCACACTTTCAGTATGCTATGCTCTTGAGGCTTCTAGAGTGTGTGTGTGTTTGTGGGGGAGGTACCATGTGAGTTAACAATGAGAAAATTGTTTACATGAGTGTGAACGTCAGGGAAACAACATTGTGTGTCTGTGTGTGGGAGAGTGTGAGCACATTATTTGGCCGGAGTAATTCATTTTAAGTCACCTGTCAGTTTAAAAAAGGCACAATCTCAATTTGTCCTGTTTGTTCATTAAAACGGGCTCCGGATCTTTAAAACTAATTACAAAGTTAAAATGTCACTAAAAAGGCTTTGTGAAGTTTTGCCTGATTTCACCTGGGTACTCGCATTCATTTAATGGTATACTTTTTTGGGGAGGGAGGGGAAAATCAATTCATTTCAGTCTCAGTTCAAGAACATTGTATATACAGAGGTACTTCTAACCCTCCGTTCACTGCAAATGCCCCACCGCGTCTCCCCAAATATGGTCGCTCTCTATGGGAGAAAGAGGAGCGGCTTAAACGAGGTGAAAGGAGGAGACCTTTAAGATAATCGTTCGACACCATTCCAAGCGCGGACAAACTACCAATCTCCTCGATCAACTCTCCTTATAAGATTGTGCAAAAGTCTTGTAGAGTCCCTACATTAATGGCCCCTACCTTATAGTGTCCCAACTTGAAGGGTTTTCGCTGCTCCCCTATTTGGACCCTGCACACTACACAAGTTGTCCATTAAGGCCTGGTTGGGATGGGTACTGCATTGTTGCCATGGGAGCTGTCAATCAACACTTGAGTGACAGGAAGGCCATAAGAGGTGGGGGGGGGGGGTATTACTGCTGCCCTGAGTCTCCAGACAGTCCATCCACATCCTCTATAGATCCAGATAGAACTGCATGACATATAGATCTGCACGCCATTTTGTTTTTTGTCCCTACGCTCAAGTTGGTGGGGGACGATGATCAAAGAGCGTCTTGTGAAAGAGAGCGCTCACTCAGAAACAAATTCTGCCTTAAGTCAGTCCCTGTTGAAGAGGTCATGATTAGACAGACAGACAGGTCTCTTTGTTATGACTCCTGAGATCCCTTCCCAGTCATCGAAGGTGATGGAACAGTTGACAAGAGTTGGTTTACAAAGCAATTTCCTCTGCTTTGTAAACCATTGTACGTAAAGACAAGCACTTCTGTAATCTCTTTTCAAGTCTGTTGAAGATAGAAGGCATTGTCATGATGTCATCCCACCCAGTGTCAGCAACATTAAGGTCCGTCTGGTGGAGTGGGTCTAAAGGGATTCTTTCCCATCTGTTTTGATGCATCTCTGAAAGGCTAAGGAGCTATGGGCGTTACTGGGATGAGATGTTGAGGGGAGATGGAGGCACCTTAAGGCAGTGTACAGGTCTTAGGGATGGATCCTGGATCTAGGCCCTAGGGGCTTTTGTTTAGAGGGGATATCAGTATTAATGTATGTCTATCCTTAGTGTCTCAGTCACAGCATGTTGAGCTATGTGTTAATGTTCTGTATTAAATGAGTTCAAAATGAGAGTAAAAAAGCCTTCCGCACAGGCACTTGTGTCTATGTGTATGCTTGGTTATATGAGTGAGTGTGTATGTAGGTACGGGCATGTGATCGTGTCTCTATGTATGTATGCATGTATGCATGCATGTATGTATCCCTGCCTCAGCAGGCTCCATGGTTCTCCAGAGACAGCTGGGCTGTGGCTCTCTGCAGCTCAGAGCTGGCCCTGCGCTGGGCCGGAGGGGGAGGAGCACCCTGACTCATTGACAGGCTTCTTCTTGGCCCCTCCCCATTCTCTGACTCCCTCCTTACCGGCTCCTCCACCACCTCTTTCTCCGGCCGCACCTTCTTATCCTCGGCCTCCTCGCGCTCGCCATTGGCCTCCATCTTCTGGTCCTCACTCCAGCGGCGTTTGAAGCGCAGCTTGAGGGGGATACAGAGGGTGCCGCCAGGGCTGATGGGAGGGCCCTGGCCTGGCTCGCTCTTCAGGCCCAGCAGGGAGGGGGTTAGAGGGCCCATGGGAGGGGCGGCGGGTGTCTTGAACACGTCCTCTTCCACGTCGTCCTCGGCGATGGCGCCCAGGTTGCCGTTGGTGATGGCAGTAGGGGCGGTTCCGTTGGTGGGATGAGGGGGGGTGAAGACGTCGCCCTCGTCGTCGTCGAGCAGCTCGTCCTCCTCGCTGATGTCGGTCACCTCCACCTCCTCATCGGTTTCGATGTCGGAGATGGGCTCCACCTAGACAACAAGAGACAACAGATTAGTCATTGTTGAGAACATCTCTTTTACATTAAACTGGTGGTTAGTCAGGCTAACCTTGATTCTGGTTAGTGATTGACTCACCTTGATTTTGGGAGGGCCCACTGAGGAGGAGGAGTTAGAGAGCAGCCCTGAGGCAGCGTAGGAGGAGCCTAGGCTGGAGGAGGACCCACCGGTAGAGGAGGCGGAGCCGTCCCTCTGTTTACGCCCCAGCGGAGGCGGCTGCAGCTTGAACTTGAAGGGCGAGGGGTGCTGCTCCTCCCCTTGATGGTGGTGCAGCGAATGGGAGTGGGGCATAGGCGGGGCATGGTGGTGAGCTGGGGGGTGGGCTGTCATGGGCTTGTCAGGGGCAGCAGAGGGCCTGTGGGGCTGGGGGACCACGATGTTGGGGTAGTGGAAGAAGGCTCTGGGGCTGAGGTGGTAGTTGTAGACGCTCTGGTGGTGGGCCTGCAGGTAGCGCTTCATGTCGTCCGGGTTGAAGGAGAAGTGGGAGCCCAGCATGGGGCTGAGGGAGGGGGACGGGGTATAGGGCAGGTGGGAGCCAGGGGTCATGGACAGGGCCGGGGACAGGGTGGGGCCCAGGAGGCCCCCAGGGCCCGGCAGGGGGGACACCGGGAATGGAGACATGGGGTCACCATGGACCCTGTGGCCGGGCGGGGGGCGGCCTAACCCGCCGGGGCCTCCGTAGGCGCGAAACAGTGAGTCATGGGAGAGGCGGGGGTGTAGGAGGCCGCGGAAGGCCCGTTCAGGGCCCACGCCGCCACGATCTTCACCCCCCACGCCTTCCTCCAGCTCAGAGTTGGTGGAGGTGCCGTCGCTGCAGTCGGAGACAGAGCCACGGCCCATGCGGCGGGCCACGCTGCTGAACACACCCGGGCTGCGCAGGTCCTCACTTGGGGAGAGCACCTCGGACGGGGTGGAAGGGGGGAAGCGGAAGTTGCTGCCCCCGGTCGGCACGGGAGGGGCGCTCTGGGGGACTCCCCTACCTGGAGAGAGAGAGGAGAGGACGAGTGAGTTAGAGAGGGTAGGAATGAAACAGTGAGGTGATGAGAGAGAGAGAGAGAGAGAGAGAGAGAGAGAGAGAGAGAGAGAGAGAGAGAGAGAGAGAGAGAGAGAGAGAGAGAGAGAGAGAGAGAGAGAGAGAGAGAGAAGGAAAACAGTAGAGAAAAGTTAGTGTGAGGCAATAGGTGACAGAAGGAGAATGAGAGACAGAAAGTGAAACTAAGTAACAAAAAGCATGTGAGTGAGAGTAAAAGTTTCTGTACACAGAATCACAGATGAGACAGAGCGAGAGAGAAAATCACTGCACACAATGTCCACGTGTTACTTTCCACTTTTCTGCCCCGCGATACCATATTGTGGCACACAACTTCTTGGCATCCTCGCCCGTGCCAAAATAAAATATTGGAAAGTCGTTCTTTTTGCCATCACAAACATGGGTCGGGTTGCTCTATTTTCCTAAAACCGCTAAGTGAGTTAACGTCGGAGAGGCATGGGTGTGTGTGACCATTATATCAAAACACATGTCAAAACCCAGGCCACATCACATGTGGAGTATAATAAAAACTCCACACAACAGTTATGTCACATGGTATCAGGCTTCAACAAGTGTGCCCTATTTACACTGTGTGGCTGTGATTACTGCCCGAGGGCTTTTTAAAAAGGGGAAACACTTGGTATGAAGCATATAAACAAATATGCAATATGCAAACATCGCTACACTACACAAACCTGATTAGTATTTTTAGCATTTAGTCCACCTGTCAGTCATTGTAGCTGTCTCCATTACAGAATGGCGCTACTATGAGTTAGCTCTCAGGCACATTAGGGATCTGTATTAGCGTAGCTAGTCTTTAATAAATGTATAATTGGACAGATACATAAAACAAATCTCCCAACAATCAGACATCTGTAATTACGTATGGGGACTTTATGGAAATGCTTTAAGAATAGTTAGACTTCCAAATGATGTACACTTACAACTTATCCATCTTTAGTATGCTTAAAACTGTGCCAGTGATGGTCTCCGGTGTATTTCTAACCAGACTAGACAGAGTACTGACCAGAGCCCATGTCGATGAAGGGGTAGTTGACCAGCACCAGCTTGTTGAAGTTGAACTTGTAGGTGAACCTCTTCCCTTTGGTCTTGTGGAGGATTCTCTTGTTGTAGTAATATCTGTGGGAGCAAGGTTTACACGGTTACTCACTCTTTGTTCAATTTAAAATGGTTAAATAAGGATTAAATACATTAAATGACATCCATTTCAGCATTATGTGGTCCTACTGAGTGTGATACACAGAACCCCCCCCCCAAAAAACAAAAAAAATAAACAAGCAGTATCTATTACCATGTAATTGTTTAGCTATTTATCTAAGGCAGGGGTTTCCAACCCTGTTCCTAGAGAACTACCCTCCTCCAACCACAGTTCTAACCAACCTGGTTCACCTTATCAACCAGCTAATTATTAGAATCAGGTGTGCTAGATTAGGGTTGGTGTGAAAACCTACAGGACGGTAGCTCTCCAGGAACAGGGTTGGAGAGCCCTGATCTAAGGGTATCATTATGTGCAGTAACCATGACAATATTAAATGTAATGAGTACCCACTGGAGAATAGTAGGACTCTCTTGCAGGATATGTTTTACCTCAATGAGACAACCCTTTACAAACAATGGTCAAATAAACACACAGGGAAACTGTGATTCAGTCTAAGAACTTCTGTTGCACTACGAGTGGAAGGAAGTCCTCAGCCATTGAGTGCGCTGCAGTGGCTGCTGAACCAAAGGTAGCTAGTTCTAGCTCTTTCTTTGCTGAACCTCTCACCCTGGCACAGTGAGGACTCAATGAATGAAGGGCCTCTTCTGATTGCAGCGACTACCACTATGACTAGAGTGGGCTCCCACCTACACACATGCTAAATGGCAGTAATAGTAGGGGACTGCTTAGTGCTTACTTTGATATAGATGATGTGAAGTGGAGACAGGAGGTTTGGACTGGAACGTAATGTTCACAGGCGCAGAAAGAGAGCACTCGAACACGTGGGGGAAAGGCCACGCACATACACACCAAACCCACACACCCCAAAACACATACACCCAACGTGATATGGTGAATGACTTTACTGGAGTTGACACACGCAAGCACACACACACACAAAGAGAGCTGGGAGAAACATGCAGGGACACACAAGGGCTCAAGCTTGCTCTACGGTGCTTTGAAGAACATTTGAACTCACTTCAAACAAAGCACAAAGGCCTAACGTTTCTACTGCCTCTATGACAGCTGTAAAGGAGGACGTTCTAAACACTAACACACACTTCATAGCCCAAGCAGCCCCTAATCGAATCCTAAACCCTAATGAGGAAAGAACATTGCCATATTTCAATTACTTCAGAATTGAAAGCTTCTTTCATCAAAGAGTTTTATGACAGAAGATAGTACCATAGAGGTTAGGTCAGACCGTTCGAGGAGACTAGTACACCATAGAAACAAACCGACAAGGCACAGATGGGATGGAGGAGGACTGACAGCGAAAGCAGCTGTGACGAGTCATTGGTAGGATGAGCACTAGCTGACCCACACCAACCTACGACATGAAGGTGACACTGACAAGCCAGTGTGTGGCCAGCGCTGGCTGCTAAGTATGTGTGACAACCAGAGATATGCGTGTGGTGTGTGAGATTGAGTGAGAGAAAGAGAGCAAGAAAGAGAGTGAGAACTGACTGAGGACTAAATAAAAGCTCTCAGCAAGCTCTCAGCTTCCCACGTGCTCTGCAGTGTGTGTTTTTAAAGACAAAAGTTATCTAAATGAGCTGTCACATGAAACGAGGGACATTGACGTCACTATGAGATGAACAAGTCGTGATGAACCGCGCCCCCACATTCTCCTCCGTTCTCCTCCCCCTCTCTTTGAAAAACAAACAAGGAGGGAGCCACTCCAGAGCTCTCATTGTTCTGGCCCGTCTTAAATCAGCTAAAAACGGTCTTCTAATAACAGCTATTAGTTGAGTCCGGTGTATTAGAGCTGGGTTGGAGCAAAAGCTTAAAACACACTGCAGCCCTCTATGACTACAGACTCCCCCACTTCTGGTCTAAAGGCAAATGTCATTGAACCTGTATTTATACAGGTTTGTCACATCGATTAAATCGCTTTTGCAAGAGAGACCCGTTCACTTCATTTCTTCATAAATACCCAGAATCCCTAAGTCGAGCAATAGTTGTTCCCCTTTCTTACCTAAGCGCTCTGCTCAGCTTGTCGTAGTTCATCTGAGGTTTGCACTTGCGGGCACCCCACAGTCGGGCCACCTCTTCAGGGTCCTTGATGACAAACTCTCCGTAGTCGCCCTGCCAGGCGATGACTTCATGGTACTCCTCCTTCCGCAGTAGCTCCAGGATGAAGCACCACAGCTGAATCTGTCGCGAGCCGGGGCTCGACTCGGGCTTGTAGGCCCAGTCGGGGAAGGCGAACCCTGGGGAGGGGAAGGAAGAGAAAGGGGGTTAGATGGCGGTGTAGTGTTCAAATGCTGGGAGTGATGGAGCATGGGGCTGAGAACATCAGAGGCAACAGGGAAAGGCAGGTAGTGGAGAGTTGACAAAGGGTTGAAGAACGGGTCCAAAAAAACATTTGTGAATTGTGTGTTTGATCTCCATGTGGCGGGTCACAAGTAGATTACTGACTAAGTCACTTTGGATAAAGGAGTCTTACAGGGCTGTACTGGGATCAGTGTATAAAAGCAAAGAAGGTTGGCTTTTTGGGGTAAATTTGTTTGAGTTTGAAATCAAAGCTGTACAGGGATTAGGGCTGGTGCTTAATGTTCATTGTAAATCAAACAGCCTCGAGTATTGAAGACAAAATAAAAGATAACAAGCATTAGACAAACAGAACATGTGAGAACAGTGAGCGCAAGTATATGTTTTAGAGATGTAGGTTGTGCTTAAAGACTCAACACCACTTCAACACAAGGCCAGGCAGACTAGCAGAGACATAACCACACACACACCTCATTAGGACCAGATGTGCTCTAGCAACCAGGCCGAGAAATCGCTCTCGGAGAAACATATGGGCACAATGCAACACATAACACACTACGGCGTACATACCAGAGGTATTTATATTATAATACAAAACATATATCTAGAATACTAGAGTAAACACTTAGATAAGAACACAAACACAGACCGCAATACCGACAACTGGTAGCCTATTGCCCCATTGAACCACCTGTTGGGCAAAGTCCACATGTCACTATAAATCTTCATTCCAGGTCAAATGCTGCTGCACCAGAGTGACGCCCATTGTCACTAAAAAAGCTTTGTATGAAGGAAGGAAGATTAGATTTTGCGAGTGGCCCAGTTAAAAGCCTATGACACGTGACTCATACAAAGTAATAGGATAGGCTAAACCATTGAACTACTTCAATTGTCTCTAGTCTGAATTGAATAAACAGTGAATGGTTCTGATAGCTATCTGACGCTTCACAGCTCATAAACTATAAGCGTATGATTCCCACATCGTCGACAAGAGGGCCCAAATCAATGGCGCCACTTTAGCATCTGTGCCACATGGGCAGATGCTGGGCAGCTGGTGTGAACGCACATGTAAAGCCCGGCAGGAGCAGATAAAATGAGAGCGAGTGAGCAAATTGAACACACACACGTTCCGAAAAGGTAAAGTGGGTGCATGCGTAGGTGCAGAGTGCTCACACATACAAATACCAGCAATGCCCACTGAGCGTGCGTCAGTGCTGACTCATGGCCTCTTCTTATTTGTCATTCAGCTTTCATATGGAGCACGCCTTTCCCCTCTGCACTGCCATCCCTTTCTTTCCCTCGCTCCCTCTGACACCATTGCCTAGCAACAGGACATTTTAGCTCTATAAATAAACACCAGAAACACACCGAACATTAAGCTGTAATTCAATTTACAGGTATCTAAAATCATATTTTTTCAGACACGTTCAGAACGTGTGTGTGGGTAAAAGAGAAAATGGGCAAGAGAGGAGGGAGGAGGCATCAAAGGAAGAGAACAACTTGTCATCTGTGGTTTCACTGATGAAAGTTCACGGTTCCAATGTCCCTTAGCGGGCTGCCTTATGAAACGACAGACATTCACTGTAGTGTCCGTCACGTACAACAAATCTCTAACTCAAATCACTGACACGCACAACGCTGCTCCTCTCTAGACAGATGTGCGCACACACGAAAACACACAGCATAACAGCCATTACAAGCCTGTCTTCTGCTCTGTTGCGCTAACTACCAGTGGTCCAGGTGGGACTGCTGCTGATCCTGCGGGTGACAGTAACTATGATAGGAATTACACACAGATAAACACACTCATAGTGAAGCACCATAATGACACATATCATTTCCCATGTGGGGTGTGCCGATACCTGGGAGAGTCATGTAGTTGGCCATAATGATCCAACGAACATCAAGTATATGAGGTCAGTAAGAAGAGACAGTTGTCCAACCATTTTCCCTGGGTCTCTAAGGGAAAGAACTGAAGGAGTAGTGACAAAACATGTTTGTATTTTTAGGGCTACCACCAGAGTGCGACCGTTATTCGAGGCACCTGAATTTCCCTTCCAACAGAAATACAGGATCTTTAAACGAGAACCATTTTCATACGAGGCTTTCAATACGGCTACATTTGTTAGCGGCCCCATGACGTCATGTGTTTATAATAGTAGCTTTAATAACAGATAGTCATCGTGTGCCTTGTCCTGAACGCCTACTGGTCTGAGACCAGGGGCTCCGTCTCCTCTTTTTCACCCTGTTCCCTCCATCAATTCCCCCCCCTTTTCCCTCCCTTCCTCCTATTCTTTGCTGGCTCTATATTTAGCTGGAGGAAAAGGTCAGCCTCCGTCTGCTGGTGATGGCTGCCTGGCCACAGAAATAGGTAGGAGGGGGCACGGACTTGTTCTCTGAGTGAGTAGTCCATCACCACTGGACTACCCTCCATTGAATTTCAACGGGGACATGCCACGGTGCATTGAAAGTGTGAACACTAACTCTGCTACCCCCAAAAAAAGGGTAAGCCCTAAAACTTCTTGATGCTAAAAGGTGGATGCTAACATTGACTCATGCTAGCCTGAGGGCTAATAGTTCCCTATCCTAAAGACATGGCCATCAACACCAACTCATGATAATGTCAGAGTACAGGGAGAAGTATTCATATTGAGAGAAGGGGGCAACTTAAAAACCCAGGAAGATGACAGAAGAAAAGGAGATGATAAGAGGAAAGTAAAACACCCAGATGTAAATCAAAGAGGCCAGTCAGAGCTGCAGGTGCACCACATGAACTTTCACCCCTCTCCTGATTCTAGAAAGCACTGTTACATAAGAGAGAGCGAGGTAAAGGGAGTGTGGAATGAAAAACTAAATCAGCACAGAGTAAAGTGAAAGAGACCAGAGGAGAGATCGGAAAATTGCTCTCACTCTGACTGTTAAGTACTGGCCTTTCCTAAGATATAAGGGAATAGGCTATACATTGGTTGTGTGTGCTGCGTGTGATTGGCCCCTTATCCACTCTAAGCTCTGGGGTGTTTATGCATCCAGCAGCCACCATGCAGGTGCACCAGACCCCAGGCAAGGTAGCGGCCAAAAAAGACAGGGCTGTGGTTGTCATGGCAGTACCATCACAAAGACGTGGCTCCACCACACGGCAGACCCTCGATATGTTATCTTCATCTTTACATCAACAATCGTCAATGTCAACGCCACCGAGATGAAAGCAAGTTAGAATACGACGGTGGTTGGACGGTCGTAGGGCTGGATTGTGACGGTGTAATGGATCCCGAGGTGCGCCGGCCAACTCTGCCCAGACAGAAACCAGACGCGTCTTGGGGAGTTCCGCGCAGTGCAAGCTGTGATTAAAATCAGCCCTAGATGGTTAGACAGGGCGCGTGTTTGCGCCAATTGTCTTGCTATGCGAGGACTGTTGAGTATGTGTGCAGGCCTCGTCCCGTGCGGAGAAGACACAGAGCCAGTGTTTATGAGCATGCCTGTGCAGGCCCTGATCAGGCTCCAAGCTCAGCAATAGATCCCTGGGACAGACTTCCTAAATACTAGTCTTGGAGACCTGAGGTTAGGAAATGGAGTTGTGTTGATCTCCATAATAACTTGATTTGTGCATATATTATTAGCAACTAATACAGCACTCATAATTCGCTATAAAGTATTTATGATATTTGGTAAACCTTAACCAATTAGAAGACTTGAGTAGGAATTGCTTGACCAGGCTTGACCCTTAACACTAGAACCATTTGGACTGCTGATGAAGTTTTTTTTATGTATTACTCTGGCATTTAAGTCATGCCCCCCTCCGTCCTTGACTTTTCCTAAATAAGTCTATATAAACACACTGTCATTGTTAGAATCTTAATATCACAAACAGAACTGGAGTTACAACCAGTTTTAGGAGGGCATATCATTTTTGAATGGTTTTCCCATTGCCCCTCCTCCCGACAGTAAGGCCTGCTCCCCTTCACCTGACAGTTGAAGATGCCGTACCCAGTTGATATTTACCCAGATAATTGCCTCGAAACTGAACCAAAACTAATTTCACACATAACAGATGAAATAAATGAAGTAAAGTATGATGGGGGAGAATAGGTGAGTTGATGAGTAAGATGAAGCGAACGATGCATAATGATGTAATCATTAATTGTGAATTAAGAACAGGGCGGGCCATTCTATTGTATTGACCTATTCTAATTATAATCTCAAAATGCTATGTACCCTCAATCAGTCCACCGAATCTAAAGAAGTCTTATCAGTATACTCTGAGTACACAGTGAGAGCGTGCGTAATTTACAAATGGATGCAGATGCTGCGTTAGTTTCTACAAAATCTAAATGAAAATGCTCAGATGGGAGGGAAGAAATGAATCATGACATCTCTGATGATTATTCTTCTGATTTTGAGCCTCAGCCTGAACCTACACCGCTGAGGCCTAAGTGCAAAAAAAAAAGCCAGAATGGTGCACAGAGCAGCAGGCCTCAAATTTCCCGGCAGCGTCGATGGTCATGGCCGTGGATGCACCCTCGTGTGGCCGTAATGCCCCCAGAAAATGCATGCCTTGTGGCCAAATTGGCCGTTATACCCTTGGGCTGAATATAACAATTATAATTCCCTTCTCCTGGCTGCCAATCGCCGTGCTCCGAAGCTACCTCTCACTCATATGGCTCTCTCAGATATCTCAATTCGTATTAGCCAATGCCCGTCACGTGATCGGGTCCTTCTCAGGCCTCGCAGCTCCAAAGTACAAGTGAAGACAGACACATCGGGATGCAACGGCGCGAGTCCTTCTTATCGAATTCCGAGGTGCACATTGAAGATGTTAGAAGAACTGTCCACATTTACTTTTCCTCAGCCAACAAGATGAGTAACGAACAGCAAAAGCACTAGCCTACGTCAATCTACTATCCCCCATAGCACAAAAGTTGAGTTAGCCTACCTATTCTATTGGTCAGCTTGTCTTTCTGCGTCAGAAATAAAGATTCCAAAAAGACTCTGGGTCCATTGTGGGACGATAGATCCCAAATTCATACAACCCCTGTACATCAAACAAACTTTTAAAAGCAATGAGTAACAGATCAGAACATTTAGCTTACAATGTTGAGAAACGATTACTTCTTCACATTATAAGAACAGCAATTCACACACGACAGTAAGCTATACGCGCAAATGTTCCAAAATGCAATTGGTGGGAAAACATTGTTCTCAAAAGCCCACCGCAAATGCGAGCGGTTTCATGTGACAGATGAAAATATCCTTTTAGAAAAAAGGTTGATCTAAAGATGTAACAACTAACGTGTTGCTAATATGATTAGGATTGTGTTCATGGCTTCTGGACAACGACACAAAGTTATTTGAAAACCAATAAAACATGAGAAATAGCCTACTGGTTTCAATGGCATATGATTTATAAAATTATTCCCTATGTTCAGAATTTGGCTAATCTCATTTGAAACAAGGTAAAACATGCCTCATGAAAAGGAAGACGACATCCAGGTTTTAAACAATCAGATTGAGCAAAAGCAAAATAATGATGTATTATTATTATTACAAAAACACTCCTCAGCACCCCACCCACCAACAAATTTCTGGCCACTCCCCTGGGCCTATGTCAACAGAATCCTTCCTTTAGAAGTTTACTGGCGATAAGCATATATATATATATATATATATATATATATATATATTACATTACAGTGGGGAGAACAAGTATTTGATACACTGCCGATTTTGCAGGTTTTCCTACTTACAAAGCATGTAGAGGTCTGTAATTTTTATCATATGTACACTTCAACTGTGAGAGACGGAATCTAAAACAAAAATCCAGAAAATTTAAGTAATTAATTTGCATTTTATTGCACGACATAAGTATTTGATACATCAGAAAAGCAGAACTTAATATTTGGTACAGAAACCTTTGTTTGCAATTACAGAGCTCATACGTTTCCTGTAGGTCTTGACCAGGTTTGCACACACTGCAGCAGGTATTTTGGCCCACTCCTCCATACAGACCTTCTCCAGATCCTTCAGGTTTCGGGGCTGTCGCTGGGCAATACGGACTTTCAGCTCCCTCCAAAGATTTTCTATTGGGTTCAGGTCTGTAGACTGGCTAGGCCACTCCAGGACCTTGAGATGCTTCTTACGGAGCCACTCCTTAGTTGCCCTGGCTGTGTGTTTCGGGTCGTTGTCATGCTGGAAGACCCAGCCACGACCCAACTTCAATGCTCTTACTGAGGGAAGGAGGTTGTTGGCCAAGATCTCGCGATACATGGCCCCATCCATCCTCCCCTCAATACGGTGCAGTCGTCCTGTCCCCTTTGCAGAAAAGCATCCCCAAAGAATGATGTTTCCACCTCCATGCTTCACGGTTGGGATGGTGTTCTTGGGGTTGTACTCATCCTTCTTCTTCCTCCAAACACGGCGAGTTGAGTTTAGACCAAAAAGCTCTATTTTTGTCTCATCAGACCACATGACCTTCTCCCATTCCTCCTCTGGATCATCCAGATGGTCATTGGCAAACTTCAGATGGGCCTGGACATGCGCTGGCTTGAGCAGGGGGATCTTGCGTGCGCTGCAGGATTTTAATCCATGACGGCGTAGTGTGTTACTAATGGTTTTCTTTGAGACTGTAGTCCCAGTTCTCTTCAGGTCATTGACCAGGTCCTGCCTTGTAGTTCTGGGCTGATCCCTCACCTTCCTCATGATCATTGATGCCCCACGAGGTGAGATCTTGCACGGAGCCCCAGACCGAGGGTGATTGACCGTCATCTTGAACTTCTTCCATTTTCTAATAATTGCGCCAACAGCTGTTGCCTTCTCACCAAGCTGCTTGCCTATTGTCCTGTAGCCCATCCCAGCCTTGTGCAGGTCTACAATTTTATCCCTGATGTCCTTAC